TCTCCATCGCACAACACTTCAGGCTCAACAATAGGGACTAGTCCGTTAGCCTGGCAGATGGTAGCATATCTTTAAAAAAAACTTTCAGCATCATTCACTATAGGATAACAATCTACCCACCTAGCCAGAACATTGGCGTTCTCCAGCATACCAAGGTGAGATGGGGTATGAGGACCAATCGTCAGTACACAACGCCATTTAGCAAATCCACATCCTCCCTAAAAAATGCATTTCAGGCCTCAAAATTGAACGGTTATTTTTTTGACTTTAACCTTCTTAAAGGCAGCAGCTCTCTGAGCAAGGTTGTCCAAACCTTGAGTGGTTGTCTCACCGATAGTTCCAGCAAGTGGAACAACACCAAGATCGACCTTGATTCCAGGAATGACACCATTCTTCTGGAGGATTTCAACAAATCTCACGCCATCTGTGCTAGACTGAAATCAAATCAATCAAATAGAAGTAGCACTGCATATTCAACGCTATATTATTCACTGGTTAATTGAGTCAATCTGACCCTCATTTATAGCAAAACTAGACTTTGTATAACGCTGCACAACACATTTGTTTTTTACACCTCTCATTCCCTTTCTCTCTCTCCCATCCTCTCCATTTTTCTGTATTTGCTCACAACATGGATTTCTGTGGCATTGGACAATCGATTTATCGCAAAACACAGCAGAAAGGGCAAGGGTACGCTCTCTCTATACCACTCAAAGGGAACGTGTAACGTAAACAGTAGGATTGACTATAAATTTGACAATTACATTGTGATTACGCGCATGAACGAGTAACACTTCAATAGAACTAGTTCGCCATCATTTTGATCACCTCAACTGACAGGGTAAGTACAGATCATTACAACAAAATTACATCTTCTCCTATTCCCATAACTATTTTGAATTAAAGTTATACAATTATTAAACGTGGGAAATCTTTAGATTGAAATTCTTGAGATATATAAATGATTAGCTTTTCTAATGACAGTCAACTCGCCCATTTGTTGACCCAATCAAACAAGAGCTGCGAGACATATACCAACTCGCCTCACCCAGACACTACATATGGGTGACTTGAAACAGAAAAAACCCAACTAAAGAACTCTAAAAGGAAATACTAGTGCACTTATTTTTATCCATATAAACTTAATTTTTATTCATTACAATAATGAAGGGAACCAGTGCTATATATTTCTTTTATAGGTTGCATATTCGTTTTAGTAGAATAAGAAGAAAGCTGATCTGATTAGCCGACTGCCTTGTGCCACAAAAAAACTAACTAAGAAATGGTAACAACGTATTTTGCCATTCATGAAACGCTGCCTATTTTTCAAAACTGAAGTCTAAAATTTTCTCTTATAGCACAAGACTAACCTCAAATACTAAGTCCAAAAGATGACCGCCAATATTAAGAATCTATTACATAGAGGCTTTGAAAACAGTTCCACCCCTCGAAACAAAAAACAATACGCTGCACATCAATAAAACCTTTGCAAAACTAGTAATATTGCGATTCCTACGTGCGCTAGAGTCACGTGTTCATCAACAAAGAAAGTAGTGTAATATTGTTTACCCACTAAATTCCATCTTATCACTAATCACGACAACACGAAAACGAACTACCACGCGCTGTTATGAACACAAAATCTATCAAAATTTCTCGATGCAATAGAAAAAAATAAATTCCATTGGTTTACTAGAAAATTCGTTTCTTCCAACTTTTGCCAGAATATTAACAACGGATAAATGATGACTTGCTTCGCAACAAACCTGATTGAAAGTTTCCTCAAAAAGAATGGCTCCAGAGATATGCTCTCCAATGTTAGGGGTAGTGAAAAGTAGCTGCCTAAAAGGAGATTACTTAGAAATAAGTAAAAAATGATGATTGACATTGAGATTGGTAAGATTTGAAATCAGCTACCTGTACTTCTGTCTGTTGGTCTCATTGTTCTCTAGGTTGACAGCCGCAAGTCTCTTTCCAATAGTACCTGAAAGCTATTTCTACTGAGAAATAAATGCATATGGTGCAGTAATTTGAGGAA